AAAAAAAAAAAAATAGCAAATAAAACCATACTGTCATTTAAATACTATTCTGAACGACATTTTGGACTACAATTGTAAACGAAATTATATAATATTTGCAGATAAACCCACAATTGTATCACTTATAAAAAATCTCACTTTACAAGAAATTCAATTAGAAAATGGTTCTTTTCAAATCGCCCTATTCCTGAAGTGCCTACTAAGTGACTGAGAGAAGAGTAAATGCTGCTCTCAACATTCCTCAAGCGACCATTACAGCCCATTTACGCGAGAGAAGATGGAAAAGTATACATTTACTAATTCCTCGCAAGAGATCCAAGAAGTTAATTACAATTATGTACTCAACAATGAAAAAACCAGATTAAAATTCAATAAAATAACGGGTTATAAGTCACCCAATGAGCTTTCGGCCTCTTCTTCGCTTCCTCACAAGTAGTAAATAAAGATTTATACGCAGCAGATGCATTTTTATCATCTTGGATGGAAGTGGGATGAGATGCTTCGTTTTTCCTTTTAAGAGTCTTAGGCTCAGCAGTCTTTTTCTCCAATGACTTCGAATGATGATCATCACCCTCTTGCCCTTTAAAACAAGCGCTACTAAGGCCACATTGAAAGCTACTTTATAAGTAAGTTGAAAAAAAGTGAGATCAAGGCAATTACTTTTCTTCGCTCTCAGTTCGCGCCTCTTCTGTCTTTCTTCTTCCAACTTTGCTTCATATTTCTGCAAAAGCTCCGATTCTGGATTGAGCACAATAAGATCATCGGAACTGAAAGGTCCTCCACAACAAACACAAACAGTGGACTTTACCTCATTAATAGCTTTTTCAGACACAACACATCCACAAAGCCAGTTCACAACAAAGCTGGAATGAAAATTACAACAATGAAATTCCTGAAACATCAGAAAAGCCTATGAAAGAACAAAGCTAATTCCACAAAGGAGAGGAGCAAAACTAGAAGTCAATACTGTATTATCCTAATTAATTTAACATAACAATTCTTACACATGATTCCCATTCATTGGCAATCCTGTAACGGGGCAACAAAAAGGTGCAAGATTATGGTCTTTGTATACGTCACTCTTGTCAGCAGCACCTTCGGAATAGTCTTTGCTGTCAACCAGCTTGAGCTCCTTAACGTCTCTTAACCCTCTAATGTGTTTGGAATTTTCATTCTCCGCTATCTTCTTTGTTAGTATAGCGTCAATAACGGCTTCCTTGTTGTACAGTCTAAACGAGAACGAGTCACATATAAAAAACCAACAAGGAAAGCAGAAGAAATAGTCAAATTCATAAATTACTTAACCCTCCTCTTTCCAACTTCATTTTACAAATGGTAATAGATCTTTTCGCGGGAAAAAAACTGAAGTCTCTATATTTTCCTACCGATCAACAAAATATCCAGTAGCACAGAAGACGTCCCTTGACAGTGTCCCAAGTCAAATTTTTTTTCTGATTCAAACATGGCAGAAGAAATTAATGTTCTTAAAACAAACTACAAAACGGCCCATCAATCGACACAATATGCTGAGGGGAACAAATTTGATTACCTCAGTAGAACGGTTAAAAAACCTAACAAACTAAATGATTTAGGTATTATATTAAACAGTTGCTATGACAATTGAATAATAACTATGTAAGGTAGTCAAAAATTAGACTGATAATGAAGCCCTTTCTGCTTGTCTCAAGACCATTTAAACCGAAAAAGAAAAAAGTTGTATTAAAAGTTCATATGACGAGCGGAAACAGGCAAGTTACGCGAACCTAAAACAAAAACGAAAAGGCGACCTGCTAGAAGAAAATTTCTGTATATAAACCTTCCAACTGTTTCCCTGTAATTGTTTTTGTCATAGCTTTAAGTGCCCACTCGACTAGTTCCTGACAAATATATTTAGCTCACAGTTCAGGAAACAATAAGTGCATTTTTCAAATAGCGTCCCGAAGAAGCTAACGCGACCTGAGGGGACGGCTAATAATGAGAAGCATTCAGTTAGAAGCACTAATAAACTGCAAACTCAACGCAAGAAACTGTATGGCCTTGCAATCAATAAAACAGTCGTCGCGAAATTCCCACACTGTTTCTCTTCTAACACCAGAAAGCTGTTGATTGATCAAATTTTCAAAGCTTAAATGAAAAAAGAAGTGAAACAAAAAACGTATTGGCAAAATGATTATGCACCAATTTAGCTTCAAAATCTCAAAAAATAAGAATTTTACACTTCTACACTAACTCACTTGTTCCCTAAACAATTTCCTACAACTCTACCCCTCCCCTAAACAAGTATTTTTACTCAAGCTGACAGAAAAGTAGATCAACCGCTACTGGACCACCATTACCTGACAAAATAAGCCCCCAGAAACACCAATGACAATACAATCCGGACATAAACAATGCAGTGATCGGATAAACATGTAAACCTTACCCACCAAGACGACAAGCCACTATAGGCCGCCTCAGTGGTTGTTGCGACAGCCGACAAAGCCTCCACCGCGACGCATTTTTCACACTTTTTTCGACTTTTTCGGCCTTCTTCTTACTTTTGACCAATTCACATCTTTTCGGAATAGTTCCTCCATCTGCTCCCATTCTCCCTCCAAAAAGACGTTTAAAAAAGCGCAGAAAATCTAAAAAATTTATTCGCCAATATTCCGTAAAATGCTTATCACAGTAATCCAAGGCAGCAACATGCTTGTTTCAAATCCCGCTTCCAGATAAAAGAGCTAAATTGCAACAAAGCAAGAAAGTGACAGAAATTTAACACAAGAAAAAACTTTAAGAACGAGTAAAACCTGGACAAAATTGATGCAGCTTCAACTGGAAACTTATAATACGCAATTTCTAGCAGAAAAAAAAGTTAATAGTGAAGGGAAGAAAAGCAGGATTTAACCAACAAATTACTAATTACGAAAACAATAGATGGCCCAAAGGTGGATACGCCACATGCACAAAGTGACAGCCACAAAGAGATGAGTTAAAACACATAAAATAAAAATCTTTATACTTTCTTCTTCGTGGCAAAAAAACCTCCATTTCATCTGACCGTATACTCAAAATACCTATTATACAGTCTATTGATAGAATATACCTAAGACCAAAAAATGAGACTTGAAAAAAGCTCTCTGACAAAGTAACCACTCACCAAGGCAGTCACATAAATATAAACATATGACGAGATAGCAATTTGGCCTCCTAAAAAATCTATCATGCAGGACCTATCAAAAAAAGCCATTTTCACTGCTAATTTTATAACAATTTCAAATCGAATAATGTTACTTATTTGAAAAAAATTTTAGCATAGAGGTTGAAGGACTCGTACTTTTATTATGAACTGTTTTTCTGTAACGACTACTGTAGTAAACGTCTGCACTACGCCACTTTTATTACAGTGATAACATTTGTCGACTTTTACGCACACAACTTAAACACTGTGATTACATAGGCAATTTTGGGCAGAACAGGAAATGGCCAACAGATGGGAGAACCATAAGTGACGGAATCACACGCAAGGTGAATTTGAACCTTCCAGACAATTAGAATCGCGATTACCAAATGTTAGCGCTATCCATTAGGTCACCCGCTGAAATGAGAGCTGCGATGTGAAATGGCAAAAGAATCAAAGCAAAATTTTAGCACTATAAAAACCAATTTTAAAGCATCTAAAACGAATTAAACAGTATCGAGAAAAGCGTGTACAAGGAATAAATTTAGACTGGCAATCAAAAAACATGTTTGGGAATGGCCACAGTTAACTGCAACAGCTCCGATCGTCCCCTGCTTGGAAAAAATGTAGTCTCTTGCCTCACATTTTGCCCAATAAGTCTTACTCAAAGCGACCACTTTCTACAATATTTTGTACTCTGTAGCAGAATGATATCAGCCGTGTCCTTCTCACTGTATGCTTCCTTTTCTGCCCCCTTTCCGAGTGGTTCCAAACAAATAAAAAAAAAAGTACACGAGACCGTTGTTCGCGTCGTAATTTTTATCCTTTTTCCTACGTGAAAAACATTAACTGTAACGTCTAATTGCAAAAATGACAGCAAAGAGTGACCTGACCCGATTTGACATTTTTTAACTCCAAAGCCCTAAGCCATGTCTACAATCTACGAAAAAAAAAAAAAATGAGTTAGCGGGTAATTTTACAAAAAGAAAAAAATAGCAGACTGCTTAAAAATGGTACGTTCAAGACACAAAATAAAAAAAATAGCTGAACTTCTGGAACAGTTGAAGCCATAAGTGTTTGCATTTGTACTATCTCTGAAATATTATTAACACTAAACTTTGTCATCATCTTTTTTTTGGCCTCCACAGCTCAAATGCTATTTGTGAAATAGCCGTCACTGTAAATGTAAAACGAAAATGAATTCCTTAAAATTATTTTAGTAGCGCTATGTTTACAGTCATAATTGCTAAAAAGATAAGCCACAAAGTTGGTTATCACCATAACTTCAGTTTGGACATAATGACTATTTTAAATAGGGAAAAAGGATTTTTGAAATAACACATAGAATATGAAAATTGATGATTATAGCGCTCGCTGAATTGTCCCATATCTATCTGACTGTATTAAAATTGGAAAAGTACCAACAAGTGGCATTAATGTGTACCAATGAAAAAGACCAATTGAAACGTAAGTTCATAACAGCGAACGTTGCACGACTAACGAAAAACATCAGACTGCAGCCAAATGCTTACACTAACGGTCAATCAGCCACAACAACAACTTTCCGGTGAGACCTTTATAGACCGAGACGAATGATACACTGGTTATAACGCGTACGGCTGAATTCAGTTGCCAATATAAGTCGCCGTGGGACCGGCGTAGCCCAATATTTTAGCGCGAATTCAAATATTTTTAGAAATCCCTACTTCTGCTTGCCACTGCTGAATAAACTTGAATTCTGTTGCTCATCTAGCAAGTAACTGCGTTCTTTCTTGAGGTAATTGGGAAGCAGAACAATGGTTGCAATTAAAAAATTTTTTATCAGGATGAGTAGCTGTGTTTTTAAAGAAAAAAATTAAATAAATATAACGCTTCTGAAGCTGAGTTACTGTAGATCACTTTTTTTTTATTTTGAAACTTCATATGTACACTTAGAGGGTCCTGGCGGTAGTAATTTTGAGGGACTTGAGAAGGTTTGACAAGAAATCAAAAAAGTACCAATATTCTGTTTTCTTTTTATGTTTGGCCCCACGGTGACAGTAGGATGAATTTTTTTAAAAAAGCTTTTGGATTTTTGTAGTTTGATCACCTGTTCCTGCTTTAGAACTATTATTGGTTCAAGTCAGCAAAAATAATTGAAGTTAGAATAACAGAAAAAGTGTTACAGCACCACTACTCAACGACAGTTACCGTATTCTATCCCAAAACATTTGGTATTGGCTTCCGAAACTTTTAGACGCTTTTGAACTACGAAAGATTTCGTGATTTTCTCGAGAGTCCTAAAAGAGGATTTTAAAGACAGTTTTAAAATTGAAAAAGAAGAATATGATCAGAACAGTTATGCAGTACGGCTCTTTTTCTACAGAGAAATAGATTCAGACAGACCACTCATAGAAACCAGAAAAGCTAAACAATCGGAGGAATTCGCATTGACGAAATACAACCAATAAGCATTGTATATCAATTTTTACACAATTAGCGTTAGGACTTTCTCTGTTTCTAGAGGCGTTTACCGGGCTAGAGGGTCAAAAGTTTTCCTTTACTTCCTTTATTCCTTTAATTATGTTCATCCACTCGCGCAGAATCTTCTCCAGTCACTAATTTTTTTGTTATCGGCTTCTAGGCGTTTTAGTAAATTAACTGGTTTTGGTTCAGCAATGATGTCAAGTAAAATTTTGTATTGACTAGATGATTTATAAGAATACAGTTTTAATAAATGACTCATTTGTTTTGCTCCAATAGGTACTTAAAATTCCACTTGTGCTGCTGTCAGCTTTCATCTACACCTGCTCTGCATTCTGAAGACTTCTGGCGGATGGAACCTGTTAACCATTGACTAAATTGAGCTATTAATTTTAACTGTCATTTATCTAACCAAATTTTGCGGTATTTTGCAGCTATAAAATTTTAACGGTCTAAGATAACAAGTTCATTGAGTTTTCCAATATTTCTACCAAAAACCAGAATATTTCGCAACCCTTAAAAAATAATACTTTTTTCGTATATCAGTATTTAATCGTAAAAAAAACGATAGACTAAAGACAATAACGAAACTGCTGATACTGTGCATTGAAGAGTATCGGTAAAAGTACGATCATAACCTCTGAAAATCAATGTTAGGTTTACTTAACTACGTTCTTCCTTAAAAATAAAACGTTGACTTTTTCCGGGAAGAAATCTGTTGCTCTTCAAAATGACAATTATAAAAGAATGATCTGAGCTTCCTAAGCCGCAGAGGCATTCAGCCATGCTCGACTAAGCAGCTTATCTCGAAGGCTACGCTAACAGTTGCATTTGGAAAGTTTCTGACGCGCTTAATGCTTAATAATATTTTGAAAAAAGCATCAACTCTACCTTTGACGGCACTTTTGAAAGCTTTTTTCTTTCATTCAGCACACCTTTAGTACAATTCATTGGTAAAATGCCGTAACTCATTGAGTGGCTTTGATAACTGTTGGTATCTCAACTAATAACAACTATTCTTCATGGTAAAATAGTGCTTCATTTTTGAACTTCACTACCTTTTCACCTTATCTTTGTAATGAGACACCGTGATAGTGCAGAAACCTTCGTAAGAATGCTTAGTGCTAATGTTCCGTCAAAAGTTTGGAAAACTTGGCAACGTCGGCAGCAGTTAAATACAAAAGTCATTTTTAAATTCTTTCTTTAATAAAACCATTGAATTAAAGCAGTAATTTTTGTCTTAAAAAACTTTTTGCTCCCTTCTTTAACGATCAAAATGAAACACCACGTCTTTCTTGAAAAACACCATCGTGGAAGAGCTGTTCTTCAAAATTTACAAGTTAATATTAGCTTAAACTGTTACGTTTTCTTTGTGCTTCATATTTTCGTTAAGCACAGTGACGTTCATGACAGTTAGCAGTATTTGAATGATTCTAAATTCAAAATTGAATGTTTCTCAATAATCCTGAATTTCTTTCTATCAATAGACGTGTATGTGAAGACAAGTAATTAGCGGCAACAGCAGTTCCATATGGTTCTGTAGGAATTAGGTTAATATAAACCCAGGAAAGGCACCAACACTGCCCGAAATGATAGCTCAGTTCGGAGAGCGTTAGACTGAAGATCTAAAGGTCGCCGGTTCGATCCCGGCTCGTGGCACGTCCCGTTTTCAAAACTGGGATCTCGAATATCACATTGTCGGCAAGTTAACAGCAACCCGCTTGCCGCTCTCGAAAATCAACACGCCTCACAGTTAAGATAGAAGCCGAGGTCCAATGGAACGTAGATCTTGTCCTAAAGATAACGTCATTTTCCTT